ATATTGGTCTATGCTATGCCCTTAGAATAATAACGCACAGAAACCGAGAACACGAACGACAAGTGAGACAAGTTAAAATATGCCATTTTAACATAGCGGTGGCGTCAATGCTCAAGGACAAATTGCAGTGCTAACAGCTCTCGTAATTTTAATTCAAAATGATAGTTTGTGCAATTAACGGGTGCCATAGTGCATCGGCAAGCATAACAAAAATTGTAACATAACACATCACATGTGAGTATTACTTTAATTCCAATATCTTGATGTTAAACCTTTTTAAAGCAAAATAAAAACATTTTTGGCCAAATGTTGCAAGATAAGGTGAAATGGTTTCCCAAATTTTGATGTGTTCTAAAATAAAAAAAATGCTTATCTAGGTTAGTAATGTAATTGACTTGCACTGGAAGCCTTGACACAGAATATTTTATTTTATTAATACTGGTCAGTATTAATAAAATAAATTTGATTATAATTCGGTGGAATAGTCAAATTGAACGCATTTAAGACTATTCTTTAGTTTTGCTGAATAGGTGTCGTCCATTAATCATGTGATGTTTTAGCAACTTTTTAATAACCCAATTATTATTTAATACGCCATTGAAATATATTTATTGGGTAATTGATAATACAAATATCCGAGATCTCTTCATATCAGCTGTCATAATAATTTTTAATGGGCACACAGTATACATTTGAAGAGGTAATCTATGTCGGATCACTACAATAACTTTAAAACGATCTCTACTATTTAACTTTTTTAATGTTTTGTTGTGTAAGTATATATATTACTTATTTCAGATTTTCATCCATAAAGTTAAAAAATAAATCTTTTTGTGCGTGCAGAAACCTCTAAGGACGTAAGGAAGTAGCAGTTAAAATTTCCCTGCTTTTAGGGAAAATCTGATTCCGATAGCAACATTACTTAAGTCAGCCTACCTACATCCATTGTCTTTTTGCCTCAGACTCGACGGTTACACGGTTAGGCTTATCTTTTTGCGTCTTGTCCGAATTCAAAAAACCTGGAATCCGGGACAATAAACTAGTAAAATTTCTTATTATAAATTACTAGAAAAGTTTAAATTTATTCAAGCTTGGTGCTCAATTTGATTTATGTTTAACGTGTTGACTTTCAACCAAAGTCTAATCAACAAACCATAAGGTGGTTTTCAATTTTAATAAGTCATCATATTATTCATGATCATATTATAACTGCCTTTTATTTACCTGCTTCTACTAAGTACTACTAAGTAGAACTGATAAGTTTCGATCTGGCATCCCTAAATTCGTCCCATCGTTAGGTTTTCATAGTTTAGGCGTCGTTATCAGCCGTCAACAGGGCCGCAGGCGGGTAGAGAGTGGGAACCTCTGGTGGCAGATTAACTGCTGCGGTAGGCGATAGGATGGCGGTATGGTCGCAAAAATGCGATCCGGCCACAACATATTAAGGCCGCAACATATAACTGGCTAAGCGCAGCGTCGTATAGGGGGGGACGGGGGACGGGGACGGACGGACCTGAAATAACATGGTCCGGGTGCTCCCCAGCACAGGGCCTGAGACCGGCTGTCGGGGTAGTTTGTAGTGAAACCATCACATACTCCTGGCGTCCTCGAAGAGCCGGAGATCTGAACATCTATCAACAAAAAAGATCTATCAACTAACAGCTTTATACATAATACTATTTGATTAAATCTTTAATTGCAAAGCATTAAACGTTTAAAGTTCTACGTATTTCAAACGCATTTATTTATTTTGTAATAAAAACAGAAATTTCGTCATCGCCGTCGTTAAAATTAAATTGTTATGCAATTCATTTTAAGTCCAGTTTTGCATTGTTGAAGACGAGACTATAAGTCGTATAACTCTCGTCCTGAGTCTGGTTGAGAGATGACCCGATTAGATTACGAGACATTGTGTGTCACTTGTCAACTTAAACTGCTTGTGACAAATGTAGATCCCATCAAAAAACATTACATGTGAAAAGATGCAAGTCTCGCAACGCATTTGTTCTACAACAAGAAAGTTTTGAGATGTAATGTCAGTAGTCATTCTATATATTAAAAAAATTAAGAGATCTTTTTGATTTGGTCTATATAACGTGTTGTTTCTATATAACCTCCTTTCTAAGGTGAGGCTTATGTCCAGCAGTGGACTATTAAAGGCTGTTGATGATAATGATGATGGACATGTTGTTAGTTCACTAATTTTTGGATGTTTCCATGTTGATCACTCGTCGAGTGAGGAACGTGACATCAGCGGTCTACCTTTGTTCGTAGGAATACTTACCTAAGACTATATGCTGGTTATAGAGTTCTAATTATTGAAATAAAATCAAATTCCATTTTGAATAAACGAAAAGCCCACCTTTATTCATTTATTATAGAGATGCTAACAGTAGGCTTATTATGTAGACTTAAAAAAGGCATGCACCAATATGTTACCGAATGTCTAAAGGCTTTATGGTGGAACTAGAATCATGCTACTATTTTTTTTTTATTCGTTATGTGAGTTATTTCAATATTTAGTGTTCACATTTGATGTGCAGAAAGATTCGTTCGATTAGATTCGTTATTTTGTCTGAACGTGACCATACAGTTAATGCTGATTTTAATTATTCTTCATAACAGGAGCATATGATATAGTTTGCGTCTATTTGACTAAGAGTAATAAAATAGTTGTATTTGTTTGTTTGTTGCATAGATCATATTACATATGTGTGCATTAAAAATACAATATCGTGTGAAATACACTTTGTAAATGATCTATTCGCGGAAATTTACGTTTTGAAAAAAAGGTAGGCCTAAAGCTCCATGTTTTGCGCTGTCATCAAATCCGATGCACCACTTTAATCGTCACTCCGTCTCTCTTTTGTAATTTGTCTACTCAAATCTTATTCTTAGATATACCTACTTGAATATTTAGTTTTCAAAAGTATATAAGTAAAAGATTGCCTAAAAATACTAGCTTGGTACTTAAGATTAGTTGCTTATATATTATAAACTTTGGTCTTATCTAAATATTAATTTCAGAGGACGCATTACCGGTAGCACTATCATAATATCGGATGAATTGTGTAAAGCGCTTCTTTATTGATTGTATTTTAATGGAAATCAATTAACGTTTATGATACTACTAATGCATCAAAACCGTCTTCTTACGGATATATTATTAATACTAGCTGACCCGGCAAACGTTGTCCTGCCATATAAATGATATTATCAAAGAAATCAAATCGCGATTATAAAATGGGAGGTGGGGGGTAGGAGGGTAAAAAATACTTTACGACCTACGACTATACCTAACAAGTATACAAAAAATAAATAATTAAAATCGGTCTAGCTGTTTTGGAGGAGTGCGACCACAAACACCGTGACAAGAGTTTTTTTTTTAAATGCTATAAACGGTTGTGCTCTGTATATCAATAACGGGATTCATCCTTTGCTTCGTTTACATCTCTCGGAAAATTCGATTTATCACCACTAACTCCATGAAACCAGTTCCACATGGAACTTTTGCAACCCACTGGTTCCATGCATGGAACTAGTGGGAACAACAATTTGAAGCGGAAAATTATACACAGTAGTCCCATGAAGTCAGTTGCAACCTAGCTTGCTATATTATAAGACATGAAACTTTTTTATTGTATGATAATATTTAATGCGTTGCGTGACTCAAATGTTAATATATATATATATACATATATATAATTATATACAAGAAATTCGTTTATACTTCTTTTAAATATAGTATGAATAGAACAGCTCTATTTTACATAATTTTAATGGATTGACAAACTTTCTAGTCTTAAACGATTGAAATTCAAGTCATCTTCCTTTGTGGACTAAAAATCACCGATATCTACCTAAAAAGATCCGAATGATTTTTAAGAACTTTCACTTCTGGAATTCCGTTTAAATCAACCTTCTTGAAATAAGAGTATCTTCACGTTGCCGTTAAACATGTAATTCATAACACTGTGTTCATTAATAAAGCCGCGGCTAGTCTCTTTATTAAGAAACAAGCCTTCGCCCACGGCTCCGCGCTCGTGTATGTCGGTAATCGCGGTAAAAAGTTAGTGTCGCGGTTTAGTGGTTTAGGCGTGAAAGTGTAACATATGAACAAACTCACTTGCACATTTATAATATAAGGATGGAAGTATGGATAATAATATCGTAACCAGATACTTTGGTATTGTCCTCTCATATAAAATTACCTATACACCAAGAGGTTTGGATTCTACGTTTCATGTTCTTGCATTCCATAGATCCATTTCAAGGAAATGTGGTGGCATAGACCATTTCTAATTTTGCTGTTATGTTATGATGAAACAATTGAAGACATTTCACAATGTCTAGAATTGACAAGTGAATTAGAGCGTTAATCCAAACAAGATCAAATAGGATCATTTATGAGTAATTTATGTTTAAGTGGCTGAAGTCACTTTAACCCAAATTTATTTTAGCTACAAACTACAATACAACCCTATACATATATAAAAATACAAACCTATAATATTACCTTGTTATTATTTCCGTTGCCCGTTTTCAACGTCAAACTAAAATTACAAGTAAGATTACCTACATACACGACATTGTCTCAGTTTACCTTAGTAGTCATTATTAAATTTTTTCAATTAAATTCATAAATGAAATCCTAATGGAGTGTAAATTTCATGAGATGCCAAACTGGACTATTATCATTTTTTTTATTTATGGATAAAAATGGCTAGCGGTGAGATGGAAATTTATTCAGTAAACCAAGACAATTTTGGTAACAGTTTATTGACGTCAACAATGAATAGTAACTATTGTATTGAATGTGGAATACAATAGTAAGTGATTTTTGCGAAAGATATTATTTATCTTTCTTTAAATATTTTACACTGACTGACAGACAATAATATTTACAAGTGCCACTGTTAAAATAAGACAGAGTAAGCAAATTCAGTTTTATAACCTACGTGTGTAACTTTAAATTAATATGTAATTCCTTTGCATTTCAGCTCTGGTGGGCAGTCTAGCAATGGGGGCCACGTTTTTCATGTCACCGTTGTCAGGTGTACTGGCCGGAATTTTGGGACTCCGAATGACCGCTGTACTTGGTGGCAGTATCGCAGCTACGGGCATGTTTTTATCCTCCTTTGTTGTCGATAATGTGTCTGCTCTCTATTTTACCTACGGCATTATGTACGGTGTAGGAGCGTCTTTGGCTTATATCCCGTCTCTTGCTATCCTAGGGCATTATTTCAAAAAACATTTGGGTAAAGTAAATGGTGTGGTGACAATTGGCAGTTCTATATTTACTGTAATTATGCCTGAAATAATGAAATATATGATTGGAAATTATGGGCTAGATTGGTTGTTCCGGCTGTTAGCAATCTTCACCTTAGGTATGGCATTTTGTGGTTTATTATTTAAACCTATTCCATTTATGATAATTGAAAAACCAATAAAAAAAAGAGGGTTTAAAGCTTTTTTGAAAAAAGTAATTAATGTCCAAATATGGAAAATTAGAAAGTATGCAATTTGGGCTTTATCAATGCCCGTCGCTCTTTTTGGGTATTTCGTTCCCTATGTCTTTATTGGCGCATTCGTCAAGGTTAACTTCCCGCTCTCTAATGCGATTCTACCCTTGCAGTGTATAGCTGTAACATCGGGCTTGGGCAGATTGATCTTTGGCTGTTTAGCCGATAAGCCGGGTATAGATAGAATTTTTTTGCAACAGATTTCTTTTTATGCTATCGGTACTCTGACAATTATTTTGCCGTTTATGAACTTGTTTGGACTGGTAGTTGCCATATCTCTAGGAATGGGATTATTCGACGGTGCATTTATTTCCTTAATCGGACCCATAGCATTTCAGCTATGTGGCGGTGCTTATGCGGCGCAAGCTATTGGTTGCATGTTGGGCTTGGCAGCCACTCCGTTATCAGTAGGTCCACCGATAGCTGCCTACCTTTTTGAAATCCATAAATCTTACACACTGCCCTTTGCTCTTGCTGGTATATCTCCAATAGTTGGCGCAACTTTAATGTTTGCTGTGCATTACAAAGGGTTTTCTTCAAATCGGGACTCTTCTACATCAAATGGTGTCCCAACACAATCAAATGCTATATCTATAGGTGAGTAAAGTATATAACTCATATTAAGATTATAATAAGTAGACAAAGGCCAGAAGTTTTAACAGATTGTTTTGACCTAATGTGCTGATAAGGGTGCAGATGATTTTTCATCCATGTAAGTCAGGCATATGTTTCAGAACTTACTTTCTAATGTGATTTCCAATGACGTCACGGTTTGAATTTCATAAATGAGATTAGTGAAAGTCATAAAAAGGTACACAAAGACCAACCACCACAACCAAGTACTATTTTATTCAACTTATAGTTTATTGTAGACGTGGCTTGGAGTTTAAATTGCGATATTTTAATTGAACTTCCGAAATTACCCACAATATTAACTATATTATCTTATTTCTTATGTTGCAGTTTAAAACTTTTTTAATATCACTAAAGGTTATGAATAGTTGGTTACTCAACGATAAAAGAAGAGAATGACTTTACAAACATATCACAAAATGTTTCTAACTGTTTTGTCTTTGTTTATAAATAGGTAAATCGGTTGTTTTTATTTCAATGTGGAATATTCTTTAACAAGACATAGTAGTAGTAACTTTATTATTATTAAAAAGGTACTGGTCTGTAATTTATTATTGTCCTAGTTAGAATTATATAAAACCAGCAAGCGACCCATTTTTTTACCCGCGGTTGTTGTTGTACCTTGCGGGAACTACATTTTTTTGGGATAAAAATTACTATGTGCTCTTACAAACTGTAATCTATCTCTGTGCCAAATTTCATGCAGATCCGTTCAGCCGTTTTTGTGTAAAAGGGTAACAATCATACATACCTACAAACTTTCGCCTTTATAATATTATAAATTTCATGTGTTACTAATATTAGTAACTTATGAAACTTGTGTTTACTAATTGTATAAGAATAAACGAAATGCCAATTTGATTAGACACCTCTAAAAAGTTTATGCACCTCAAAATAATCTTATTTCATTGCAGAAAGATCGCCATCAGGCTCGTTACTTAGGAGAGAAGAAATTTATGATCAGTCAACATTATAACTTCCTGATTATCAAAAAACCGTCTTATGGTTGAAGAAAGGTTAATTGAAAAGACTATTAAGTAAGAAACGCACAATATTAGGCTCTTATAATAATGTAGCTTAAAGTGTGATTGGAAATGGTAAGTTAAATTGCATTTTATTAGACGCTGACTTTAAAATCTGGCGATTTTTGATTTAATTTGTTTGAGAATACTAGCTAGGGAATATAATGATAAACAAAAATAGTAATTTTACTACCTGTATTTGAAAAAATATAAATTTCTGTTATAATTGATTTATTTACTAAATAAATCAATTATAACAGAAATTTATATTTTTCCGCCATCCAAGACCCACTCTAGATCTGTATTGTAAAACGGTGTAGTTAAAATAGTTGAAGTAACGCAAATAAATATTATTTTAAGAATAATATCAAACACTGCTTGAATATACAATGAAATCAATATCCTAATGTAATTTACATTTAAAATAATTTATGCACCATGTATAATATTAACGCTGTGTATACACACATATAATCTTGTTTGAATAATACTATTCAAACGAGATTTAATTGTTTTTAAACCTTGACTTGGTCTTTGTGATATTAGTAATAAGTAAATGATTAGAAAATGTTTGGAAGGCAAATATTCGCTACGTTATACTTCGAGGGCTAACTAATGTCGATCTTAAATTGTCTTATGCCCATTCGTTGAGTATAATAATAACTATAAAAACCTTATTGAATTTATAGTTTTTTTTTTTTTTGTATGATAAACACAACTCCTGCACTAGAAATACATCCTGTGTTGGGACTTTACATACATACATGAAACCATAACATGAACACACAAAGAGCAACCCAGACTCACAACAACAATTTGTGGATCACACAAAGTGTTTTTCCACGTGGAGATCGAACCCACAACACTTAGCGCAATAGGAAGCGCCGAGGTGACTGTTTAAACCACGAAGCCATCCGTACAGTCAAGTAGTTATTTTTACATAGCATGATTTTCTGGCATATCTGACAGGAGACTGCTGCAAACTGTTCAAAACACATAATACATTATAAATATTTTTTTAATAATAATATTTTCGGACATCTGATACACAACGCCATCTAGTTTCAAACTAAGCAGAGCTTGTACTATGAAAGCTAGATTGACTGATGGAATACTTTTACACTTTGCTTTAGTATTATACATAGAAAACACCCAAAGTCCGAAACAAATACTTGCAGATCATACAAAAATTTGGTCTGACCAGGCAATCGAACCCGAGACAGCAGTCGCATACGCTAACATTGCACCACCGAGGCAGTCAATCGTCTGTAAATATTTATTTTTATTTTCCACATTGTAACATGATGAAGCAAAACGCAGTATCTAAAAATTGTTTGATATTAAAAAATAATAAATTAAAAAAAATATGTGGGAAAATGTCATAAACATGCCTTATAAAGTAATTTAAGAAGAGTAAATTCAAATTCGATAGTGCCTTAAGAAACTTCCTTCTTTGCCAAAACAGTTGCCAAGCCAATTGTAAGTTGTTTTAAACGTAAGGATTTGAAACGGCTGTAGAAACGGCCGTTGTAGTTATGCTTTATAACTACGTTTATACTTATCAATGATGTCTTACTAAATAACACATTTTAGATAATATAACACTCAAATGTAACACATAGGTATTTGGTAGTGTGAATGCTTTTATCTATAATTTCCATAATTAATTGATGTTCTACAGATAATATTGTTTTTTTTTCAGAAATTTTATTTCTTTATATATTTTGGCTGTCAGTATCGGATATGGATAACTAAACAGGGACCTTGTTTTACACACGTATTCTTGTAGCGCACGTAGTTTTATTAGAATTATTCCTGACTTCAATGAGACGTAGTGCATGTGACCTGACAAGAGTTTTTTAAGTATAGGTACTTACAAACTATATAGTAGTAATACAGTGGCTTATATTGTGAGGTGACCCAATAAATATTGAAATTTTATTTTTACCGTATTCAATTTGTTTGTTCTAATATGAATAATAAAAGTAATTTAACATTTTTAGCCCGAGGTATTTTTCACCACACTTTTGTTCTTACGGGAAGTCAAAGAAGTTCTACAACATAGCTCATGTTGCAGGATTAATTTATTTTGAGTTTTAAAGATTTTGGTATTATCCTCTTTCGAAATTAAGTACATTCTTTACTTTGAATATTATATATAATATGAGTGAGGATGTGAGTATCTGACGAGCCTAAACACGAATATCTGCCCTTGATACCAATCGTTTCTAGTCTAATAGCAATTAATGGTATCAGAAGCTTTTTCCACATAAACCAATAATATGTCACTTAATAAACTTTAACTGTTCTGTTTGCTTGAAAGGCTTGTCAGCAAAGCTGTCTTAGGCCATGCCGGGGCCCCGGGTACACAAGAATTTGGGGCCCTGTTGGACAGTAAAACTAAATAAGTAGATAGGTACATATGGATACATCTCTATGTATTACCTCTGTAAAATAAATATAGGTATTACTTAGATAAGCAGGCTTGAATGAATTGGTTTTATTCGATTTCAATTACGACAATGATTTCTTTCTAGATATCTGTTGTGCAAAATATTCTGCCAGAGGCGGATTAAGTATCAAGAGCGCTCTAGGCAAGCATTTTATCGGCGCTTCCCACATCTCTCTATCGCTCATATTATTAGCTGAAAACTTCAAATTTTATTATTTGAAAACTTCAAATTTTTGTATTGTTTTTTTTTTCGTGTAGAAACCCCCATTGGTTGTCACCTCACCGGGGTTTGTGGTGGGGTGGTGAATTAGAATCGAACCGACTAAAAGCGCATGGTGTATAAACTGCGCCTGAATAGGAGAGATCCGATGACTGCTTTTATGCCCTTTTTTTGGTTTCTGTGACAGATTGCCTCACCTGTCATCCTTCGACCTGCGGTGCCTGAGAAGCCAACAGTACACGGCCCGTTCCCGGGTCTGGCGGACCGTTAGAGTTCTAAGCCTCTTCAGCCTTAAAAGCCTCTTAAGTTACTCACAGACCTCACCACCTCCTGGTGGAGTTCCACGCGCTCTCGCTCCGTACCATGGTATCAATCATGGTAATCTCGAACCACTCCTCCATAACGGCCGTTACCGCCGCTATAATGGCGTGCTCGGCGCTTGGTTGGCGAAGTCTTTCCCTCCACCTCTCCACGAGAACCCGGTGGCGTTGTGATTTCTGGTCCTCTATTTCTACTATGAGGCTTTTTGCCCACAACCAATTTGTGGAACAAGTTATTGTCTGCGGTATTTCCGAACCGATACGACCTTCGACCTTCAAGAAAAGAGCTTACTCCTTCATCAAACACGCCGTCAACACGCTTGCGTCTCCTGAAGTGCAGGAGACGCAAGCGCAGGCGGCGGTAGTCACTTTCCATCTGGTGACCCGTCTGCTCTTTTCCGTTCTTCCATAAAAAGAAAGCCAGTACGTGAAGCCTCCAGCCGGGACAGCCGGTGATTCATCGTGGCTCAGCGAGTGGCCTTGCCCCACTCATTATCGTCTCTAAAACTCATGAGTGAGTTCCGCCACCACCCTCAGAAGGTGCTAGAGGCGCGCTTTTTTCTGGGTAGTCAGAGCTTCCGCCCACATCGATGCACTGTAGAGTGTCATTAACTGGACAACCCTGGTCTATTACTACAACTTACAGAGTAATCCTAATTACAGCTGCAGTCGTAGCAACTGCATTTGTGTACATAACACACACTAGCCTCAATTTTCGTAGGTAAGAAAAGGAAATCAAAAATGTAGTGGCAATTATGTAACATAGGCCCGTATTTTAAAAGACGTCTCAAGTGTCGGTTGAACTCTGATTGCCTGAAACTAGTTTTAAGTGCAGATCAAATCTTAAGTATCGATCTTATTATAGAACGCGTTTTAAGTTTTACTTAGTTGAAACTAGTTTCAGGTATTGATTTGAACTTACAGTCTGTTCTCAATTACGTTTCCGCGTGATTGACACTATTATTCCACATTACGCAGCTAATTATTTAAAAAATAATTTTCTTTTACAAAAATAATTTCTGTGAATTTGTATATAATATACTATTGCCTAGTGTAGCAATGTTAACATATTAACAAGGTTGTTGTTCGTTCAAAATTAAGTATAATAAATATTAAAATAAAATTACTAGCTGTATGAATAGGCTATAACGGAACGTTCAAGTTATTTATCAACAGTTGTCATGTTGAAATGTCAAACGATGTTTTTATTTGATATTTCTAAAATTTAAATTACTATACTTTTAACATAAACCAAAAGGTTGTGGTAATTTAAACTGGTATTGTGTGTGTAAAATGTGAATTTTGGTGAATTTTATATCAATTAAGGTAAATGAAAGTGAAATTGATGATAGTATGCCAAGTAATTCTTTTGTAAATAAAGTAAAGTAAATCTTTCGTAATTATTCAAAAAGAAATCATCGTAAAACACATTCATTTCCCCTAAATGCCATAGAAATCACCGCTTGAGACTAGTTTCAGCTTGTCTCACGTAAACAAAGATCACAGCTGTCAAAATCTATACCTGAGTAATGATTTCGACATAAACATCGTTCTAAAATAAGCTATCACTCACTTGAGTATGGATCGGTGAATCTCGTTTTAAGTGACGTTCAATAATAAAATCTCTACTTAAAATTAGTTTTAAGACTAGATTCACAACTGAGACACCTTTTAAAATACGGGCCATAGACTCTAGATGTCAACCTTAGATAGACATCTCTATAGAATTAAAGAATTGTTTATATTGTATAATTGTGTGACTACTTACTGACATAGTTCTTTTTATGATTGGCATATATTTTTTCCTTGTTAACAAAAATATGCGCGCGCGCCCCTTTGTTGCCTCGCGTCCCTAGGCACGTGCCTACTTTGCCTTTTTTAAAATTCCGCGTAAACTACGCCAATTTCAGCATTATTATTTAAAATTAAAACACAACGAATAATTTTATTACACTTTATACA